GATAGGATGATAACTGGTCAAGTGATAGGAACGGGTCGGGCATTTGCTCTGGGCAGTAGTTCTCCTGGGATACTCATTGAAGGAAGACGACTTCCCAGGATGGCCTAAATACAACGTTTCGCATCAGTCAAATATTAGTGTCATTCCCAAACCCCTGTATTTCTTTTCAAGTCGCACACATGAGCGTGATAAGAGATTATCTGTTTTCACTTGGCGTGGCTCTATGACAGAGGCAACATTTTGCATGTAGATGTCAGTAAACCTTTACGGGCATTAATGTAGGTTGGACGTCCATCCAACGGGGCATCCAGTCGTAGTAGGACCGGGATGTTGACGAAATCAGCTGATAGAGTGTGTTCCTGTTGAACTAAGTGTTCCTTCGATCCTCGGAGTTTCCACGGGAGCTCTCGAAATCCGAACTTCGCTTGTCAGCTGAGCATACCGTTTACTTCTTTATAGAGTCTCACAACTGGAAGTCATAGCAAAATATACTCATTTACAGACAAGTTTCGTTTTAGAAGCGACATTGAGTTGCTTTAAGACATCATAAACGAGAGATTCAGCTGGGCTCCAGGTGAGTCTGTCGCAATACTAAATTTGTTTGCAAATGGGTGTATTCCGCTAATTTCGTGTAATTTGGGTTCAAGTAGAACATAAAGTTGACGGAAACTGGGGGACTGCGCCTACCTGATGAGCCCCAACAAGGGCGAAACCGGTCGTGGGCTGTCGAAGAATCTTCAGCAGCCCTATAAATAGTGTATCACATCTACATATGGAAGTCATCTTGTTTCTCACAATAAAAAATTCGGATCGAACTATTCTTTTATGACATTTAGGAGTCTACTTTTGTATGGAACTACTTGATAAGTTTCGCTAGGAGGAAGTGTCGGTTGAACAAACTCCACAACAAAGTTAGTCAGGCAAATCAATCATGCCGCTGCACACCTCAGCTTTCACCACCAGTAATGGACGTTAAAACATTTGTGGGCAAGGTGCTGCACTCAATTCAGGTAAGGACGTGTTTTCAGTTGGCCTTTGGGACAAAAAGGTCAAGTGAAGTGCCTTGCCAATTCCGCGCAGCCTTACTGAGAAGTTGATTTTTTCACGTATCTTGTTTCAACCTGCTCACGGAAACCCCATCGTTTGTTTGGTCAAGAAGCTTACTCAATCAGACCCGCACACCGTGTGAAACGGAAATTAGGTGCTACCAGATCTAGCCAGCCGTTTCAAGCCGATGACGCTGGTGCGGTAGATTAAGGAAAGTGCTTTCAATCGGCTGATCATTCCAACAACTGACTGTCACATCTGTGGTGCTTTGAGGTACGAGCCACTTGAGAGACCATTTCGCCGTTAACCTGAAAATGAAACCTGGGAGTAGTAACACTGCTTACGAATTCAACCGTGAATGCTAAGCGCGCAACCTCAGCATATTGTGAAATAAGAGATATCAACACTCAGTGTATTTCCGCTTGTGTTTTTGAACGGATGTAATTCCATTAACATATAGATGATTGGACAAGGTCTTCCCACCACTCGAGGAAGCACCTTTAGGAGATACCAGAATGTCTCATCGAGAAGGCGTTTTTTCGCAGAAGTGAGTGTGCGGGACTGTATCACTTAGACTGTGTCAGAGTTTTTGAACAGTGCTGTGACGAAGCGATCTACCCATTATCCCTAGAATCCCGCACTTTACGCATTAGAGCAACGTAATATGTTTGTATTATGTCCCTCAGTACTCGTGATCAAGTTCATCCATCACCAACGAGTAATTTTTACGCCCTCGGGGTATGAACTTGGATGAATGCCACAAATTGGATCATTTATGGTACTGGTGTCCTCTGATATAACATCATGAACAATGAAAATTGATACAAAGCAGTAGGCCAATCTTTGAAGTTGGACGTGCCATTCTGCATAGTGTGGGCGGGAAACGTAACAGTTAATCTATATGCATTATGGTGAGCCGTATGTGAACCTCTTGTGTGCATATGTGATGAGGGCTAGCATCCGTCTGATAGTGGATCGGTGCTTCATTTTGTTTACTTTGGTGTCGCCTTTCAAGAAACGACCAATACCAATTTGACATATGTTACTTCATACTATGTTTTAGTTTCATTACCCTGCTCCGTATGTGACTTGTTTAAACGCATGGCACCAGAGGTAGTCGAAGTAAACTAAGCAATAATGGCACCGTATGTTCATTCTGGACGGCGAAACCAAGTCCAGTACAGTCGATGGGAACGTGTTGATTTGATAGAATACTGTGTAAGTGGTGTTTCTACCGTTCGGCATTCAAAGCGATAGGTGAATATTCGGTCGTGCTCAATGTTATGAGGTCTTTTTTGTGGAGTTCGCAGTGGATGAGCGTGATAACTCCGTCGTTCGAGAAGCCAAAAATGTCACTTGTTGATTTCTGCGTCATTTTCCCTGCAGGCGATGAAAACACTTCATTCCACCAATTGGCTTTCGCTTGTAAGGTTTGCTTGTAAGAAGAGTGATCGTCGTTATCATCATCAACAGTATGATATCAGTATTCAAACACACGGGTGCCTCGATGCTCTACTGGGAAGAGTAATATTACCTGTTACAGTAATTCAATACAGGAATGTCCCCCAGGATGATACATGAATTGATTTTTCCTTTATGTACGGAAGACCGAACAGAACCTACCCATCACCTCAGTTGTAGAGCTTCTAGACCAAAACCAGGTGTCTACTGAGTTCGTTTGCGTATTTTCCCGGAGATAAGTAGTATATTGTATGCCGCCCACCATTATACGTTTACGTAAGTAAAAATCTGGGGTAGAGGACGAAAACCACCCACTATCCCGAAATAGACCCAAAGGGAGCAAGATTTATTAACCAGAACGCCATTTGGCTTGTGCAGATCGTCTGATGTGACGCTGGAGCTGGTTGTGTCGGACGCTACTTATGCAATCAAACATCATACTGTTTGTTGGCTTGCTTATCGCTCGTTGCAGCACACACATGGAAGCACTCAAATTTTCATAGCAATCGTAAAAGTCTCAGAAACTTCGTCAGTAAAGAGCGTATCAGGACATTGCGATAGGCTCAAATGCAGTGATCAACCGTGCAACAGCTGCAAAAGTTCGTTGAGATTCTAAGTGCTTCGGAAATAAAATGTCGGCAGACGGCCACTTTAGACCAGCTGAAGAAACAAAAGCTAGTTGGGTTTTCGGCTACCGTCCGACAGTGCTAGTTGCCGCGTCTCTTGCCAGCTCAGAACCTGATTAACTATTTTGATGTGCACGTCTGAACAGGATAGCTTTGTGAAGCTCACATGGCAGCTTTTCTCCATCTAGTTACATATCAGCTCACCAACCGACTCTAGTGAATTTCAGATCGTCTACGTAGGAAGAATAATATACGGTTATTTTAAACCTAAACAATGACTCCTGTTGTTCGCTGGACTAAAATCATACTCGTGAAGTAGAGCATGGTTCAGCGTTACATGGTGTGTCCCATTACCATTCAGGTTTCAGAACTGTCTGGGTAGAAACTCAATCAGCTTCTTGCGGGTGAATATACATTATTACGTTTTCCAAAGGTTGGGTCCCTTGCTGATCCTGGATAGAATGCTAAGGAAGAGTTCTGTCCAGAGCGAGACCGAAGGGCGTTACAATGAGCTGGACATGTGCAGATTATCCGGATGGGTATCCGTAGTCAGCTTGGAGGCGTTCATCTGGAGTTGTCATTGTAATGGCTGCCCTCGACCGTGTTTACTCGGACAGCTGAATATTGCTGGTACCTGAGTTATTCCTGAAGGACGAGGTAAAGGGCTCTCCTTAGGTGAGTGCTTTTGGTGGGCTCAAACGACTGTCTTGCGGATTCACCATAGAACTGCCACTACGGGGTCGCATATGACCTGGCTTAGCCTAGACACACAACTTTCAGCACAGGGTGCGTTCAGCAGACCTACTTTTGGAAAACCTCGTCTGATTTCATCTTGGTAGGCTTGCGCATTCAAACGGTCACGGTACCTTTCCCACTGATGAACAACCTTGAGGTGGAGTGCCAGTCATGTTTCCCAGGCTGCTTTTCCTGAAGGTCACTCGTTTTGAGTCCGATCTCGGTTGCTATCCCATTTGTATTCGGGCTGTTCTGTAACCGCGCTGCACGTCGCAAACTTCTTCCATGCGAAACTGTCGGTTTAGTCAAATGAAAAACGGCCGGACGCTTGGGCTAGTAATGACGGCGCTGGTGCCGCCGGCTGCTTGAATGTGGACGAGAAGATCTAGAGTGAGAGCAACCGTAACCTCAGGACTTGTAAGTAAAACTGTGGCATGCGTGCATTAGGGTCAGTACACCGGAATTTTTTGTTCGGGTACCCATCGACATGTGAAACTAAAACGGTCACTAGGTGGTGGTTCGGGTCGTCGGCCAAGTGGTACACCGCTCAGACGTGAACACGTTATGTTTATCCGATGTGCTTAACCAACGGGTGCTAATACGCTATTGTTCCAGGGGCCGTTTGGTTCGATCATGAATCATGTATGATGCAGACAGTAAATGCAAAGCCAAAATGTCTCATCAAAAGATTGTGGTTCGGTTGTTATATGGGCGCCTATGAGCCTCATGAATATATCCAGTAGTCCCAATAGGTAGATGTTTTTCAACGAGCTTAGTGAGCTGGATGCAAAAACCCTTGGCACGTTTTCTATTCTTCTGAAAAGGAGTATTAGAATCCACTTTTGATGACTCTACCAGCTACGTAGATCACACTGTTCACTGCTGGTTGTTCACACCAAACGGTTTAACTGTCTAGGGGGTTGATTGACTGACTCCCATCCATTTCTCCTACATTATCTCATACAAGTATACAAGATCTGTTGGGATGCGATTGACAGTCAAACTTTCTTATCAAAACAACACGAGAGGAGGCCATATAGCACGAAGTTTGTACTTTGCTGGTTTGTCAACTTCATCGGATTTTGATGTAAAGCGATGTATTTAGCAGTGGGAAGGCTGTAAGCAGTTATGGGACTTTACCAAGGATAGAGTAAAAGAACAATTATAGAAGTTGAGCTCATTCATCTGATCTCTTTTTCGTTCAGCTGCAGTGAAAGAAGTCCCGCTACGGCAATATCATCAGAGTGACCAATCTTCTCTCTCCTATTCAAGCCCACCGAAGTCGCAATGCAGTACTCGCCAATCGTCTCAACCGACTGATCAATTTTCCATTTGGACGCCTGATTCACCGAGCTCAGGTAGTCTGGAGAAGCGCGAGGATACCGAGCTTCGCGAGTTTGTTCAGTCCAGTCTGGCTGAAGTCGACCCCGGGACTGAGCAACGAAAACCACCTTACTCTTATGCTCAACTGATTATTCAGGCAATTGCTTCCTCACCCAAGCAAAGATTGACGCTGTCTGGAATATATGCGTACATAGGCACTAAGTTCCCGTATTACAAACTGGATGAGAAAGGCTGGCAGGTAAGTGCAGTGAAAATCCAGGCCGAATCTATTGTCTCTTCGGTTGCTACCATGTGGGTCGTTTTTGCTATTTGAGACGTCGGATGACTGTCTCAGTGGATTCATTGTACTACCTAGTGACATAATGTGAAGCGAATTAACCAAATGGTTGGATAGCCGTCTAACTTGCTTCATGTCCACCTGACACCACCTTTGGGCACAGGAATCGATTGATTAGTTCTTATCAGTGGCTGAGGCTGCGAACAGTTATCACAACCTGGTGTTATAGTCCGTGCCTTCTATGTGTGAAATAAAGGCATGCGTTAACCATCGTGTAATCATTCGCCACTGAGCATTGCACTCGGGGAGTTTCCCTGGGAGCAATTTGGGACTGAAAAATATCCCTTTTAGGATTGTTTCTTCACTGAGAAAATGTGGTTGGAAAACGCTGTGTCACGAACGTTATCTTCGAAGGATGAACATTTCTTACCTTGGGTCTGTCATGTGTATGTGTGGAAATAACTCACCAAAATGAGCTTGAAGCTGCGTTGGTTGCATTTTGCAATAGCCTATGAGTGTCCTGAAACTCAGTGTTAAACATTACCCTATTTATAACACGCGACGTTAGAAAAATTACATTTACAGTTATAGCCTGCTTGATGCAGTGCGAGAGAGTCAGGCTGGATGCTGATAACCCTTTCACGCAGCGGTAGTTGCACTGTGGAAACTGTCGTAGGTGTTGGACGTAAGGCCCTGTATAAAAAATGATCATCTGAAGAGCAATGTGCATTAGTACAGCGTTTACCATTGATTGAAAATCCTGTTGTGCAGAACGGAAGTTCCCCATTAAAAGCATGAGAGTTGGGTAAAATTGTTGTTAGCCCACAGATGTTTTTCTCTAAGAAAAGAGGGAAAGTAGTCGTTGTTTTCATGTCGCGAAGCTGAAATGGGGTTTATGGTCCTGATTACTCGATGTTCGAGAGATTTGCGTGCACCATTACAGTCGCTAGTGTCTGGTCTGGCTTTTCCGGAAAAAAGAACATCTTCTGACCTCGGTGATATCTAATGTTCATCTGGTCGAGTTAGATGGTTTGGACAAACAGTTATGAAAGCTGAAATCAAAGCTTCCTTAACCCGCTTCCAACCATCCTCATTCATCCTCATGACTTTTCGTTCCCAGTAGATTTCTAGCCGGATCAGCTCGATACTCTTGAGCTACTAAAAATTGTCGAAAATGGAACTTTGATTGAAAATCCTGTTGTGCAGAACGGAAGTTCCCCATTAAAAGCATGAGAGTTGGGTAAAATTGTTGTTAGCCCACAGATGTTTTTCTCTAAGAAAAGAGGGAAAGTAGTCGTTGTTTTCATGTCGCGAAGCTGAAATGGGGTTTATGGTCCTGATTACTCGATGTTCGAGAGATTTGCGTGCACCATTACAGTCGCTAGTGTCTGGTCTGGCTTTTCCGGAAAAAAGAACATCTTCTGACCTCGGTGATATCTAATGTTCATCTGGTCGAGTTAGATGGTTTGGACAAACAGTTATGAAAGCTGAAATCAAAGCTTCCTTAACCCGCTTCCAACCATCCTCATTCATCCTCATGACTTTTCGTTCCCAGTAGATTTCTAGCCGGATCAGCTCGATACTCTTGAGCTACTAAAAATTGTCGAACTTGAATGGAACTTCTCTGCTTTCACAAGCGTAATGCCGGGGTCGCACAATAGCATGATCTGAGTCAAGTTGCCTACCTAGAAGGAACGACAATCCTCAATTGAAACTCCCCATCGGTAACTGATAGTGACAGGGTCCATTTGAGTCCATGACTGTTTTGCGGTTGGTGGCCTCCTAATATCTCGTTGTGAGCGTTTATGTTTCAAGTTCGCGCTGACCAGAAACAGATGATGGTCAGCACTTAACCGTACACTCACCATCGACTCCGAATCTCCCAGCTAATTATGCTTCTTCCAGGTTTAGTCATCCAAATTGGACATTCATATCAACCGTCCTTCTTGCTGACCGAAGCATCCGTAACAGATCTTGATAAAACTCGTCCTTCTCAGTCTCAGAACTGCTGGTTGTCGGGGCGCATGCGGATACGACACACAAACACCACTTACCGCATCAACCTGCATTGATCTTAATGAAGCCAGAAAAACCGTACAGCATACTGACGTCTGTTTACTGGGATCCAGTCCACTAAGACACTTTTAGCCTTGGGGATGAGTGCAAATTCCACACTTCAGGAACATGTGAACATGTCCCAAGCGGCTTCAAGTTTGCAACCAAAGTGGGGTCTTGTATGCGTGTTTCGAACATACGAAATACAGTGACCTATAGGGGAAGCAAGGTTTCAGCATGAGATATCTATTGCTCAATTTGGCATTGGATGCGTACATCAAAGGTTGCAAAATGGATCAGATTTCTTGAAGTTAGCAAGTGGTTATTTTTCATAAAGGAAACTATTCACAAGGTTGCTGAAAACTCTTCGACAGCCCACGACTGGTTTCGCTCTTCTTGGGGCTCATCAGCCAGGCGTAGCCCCCGAGTTTCCGTCAACCTTATGTTTTACTTGAACCCAAATTGGACTGTTTTCGAGAAATACACTCATTTGCAAATCAATTTGGTTTAGTTTATTTTTTGGGTGACGGTTTAGACACCGATCTATGGCCAGGGGATTGTCAGATGGGTTGATCACGCTGCGTCGTTCGATGGGAGGGAGTGTTAGGGAAAGCCGATGGGTGAAAGGCAGCACGGGCGAATGATACTTCCCGGTTGGCCAAGGCGAAGAAAGGGGGTTTGGTTGAGGTACCCCGCTTTGAGCCTTCGACTCAAGAGCCTGACCCACAAGGCAGTGAGACTATGTTGGGTTTTGTTCGGGGACCCCGCCCCTACCCGCTTACTCTAGAGTCAGAATCGCGGGGCAGCGGTCGCTAATGTTTCCCTGGGGGACCTTTCCCTGAGTTTGTGACTCAACAGTCTGACCTACTTGGCTGTAGGGAGCCGGCCAGGCCACAGTAAACAGGGAGTAAGGTATTATTGTCTCAATCCTAATTCAGCTGCGCGCAGCAGGCGCCTTTTGAGAAGCACCAGACTCTTTGGTTTTAAAACCATTTCTACCTTACTGAATAATGCACCGGCGGTCACGGTCAACAGTTGGATGATCGGCGTGTGTGGTTTTTATGGCCGACCTTTTCTAACCCGCCCCCCCCTGTGAGAAAGTAGCATCGCTGCTTCCATAAATGTGGACATGTTGGTCATCTAAGGAAAATGCTTCTCTACCTCCACACTCCTATCGCAGAGGAACGTATGTTTTTCCCTCCAGACTGCCTGGTATTACGTTTACTCGATGTTCTTCGTCGGGTTGCTCTCCACTGGCCTTCCTGGCATGATGGAACCTTGAGGAACTGAGTTTCAATCAGCCCGCAAGATCATTGCAGCTTTAGGTCGGGACTATTAAAAAAAGATGGCCGAAGTCTGGGAGAGTGTTTATTTTTTGGGTTCTCAATTCGGCTACAGACCAGACTACGGATCACTACCTATACTCAGTCCAGATGGGGGATGGTGTTCCAAACATCACATTCCAGAAAACTTCACTCGTTCTGCTCTTCTATGTCAGGTAAGGATTGTTTATTCCAATAGTACCGAAGCCAGGTACAACTATCCCAGTGATCAGTAGCCTGTCATCCGGATTGCTGGACAAACATCTGCGTGTGGAAACGCTTTATTGTTCATATTCCTGACTAGGGTTACTTGTTCTCTGCTTCCAATACCCGGGCATCGTCTACTCATTTTCTCATGTTCAGCTTCAAAGGGAATTTAACCTTACTTGGTTGACACTAAGAAGACAGAGAAAAACTCTCAAATGTTGACGCAGACACATCTGGCATGTGAAATTCTTAGTGTACGCATTTAATTTTCTCATTGTTGTGAGCGATATTCTTCACAAAATGTTGCCACAAATGCAAGTGAGACTGAATTGCCCAAGCGTATGTTTTCCACGAACCCCTTCCATTTGGATGATGATATGAGTATCGTTCGAGTTCTTCCACATGCTACCACTCGCAACACTTTCTGATCCTTATCTTTCATATTCCATAAAAATATCAGTATATCTGCGCAGGACCCGACGAGCCTCATCTGGCTACTGCAGGTAACCGTCAGTTCGACCACGTTCTCACTTCAGATGCAGTGCTTCAGCCTCCCACAGTACGCGTCGCTTGTACTTTTTAGCACACTCGGTAAACTACAGTGCCGTGGGAACACAGCTGTGTCCGATAAGCGTGTGATTCGAGTCAATCTGATGGACATTTACGCAGGAGCATCAGGTGGGCAACTTAAGTGTGACGTATCCCAAGGCATGATTGAATAATGATCACGCTAAAATGGTTTGTCTCAGAAAGTATAAACCGCTCAATCGCGCGCTAGTGTCGATACCAGATACCAGATGACAGTATAAGGATGCTTAGTTGTGTTTAAGAATCCCTATCATATGCTCAGGCCAAATGGAGCTGCGTGACCATTTTATGATCACACTTTTGTTTCGAAGCTGCGAAATCTCATTCAGTTCGGTGTTTTCGCCTTGTTTGAGTGTATCTGTTAGGCACAGCTTTCTAAACAAGCTAGTGACCAAAGCTGGTAAATCTGAACAGCTCAACAAGTTTGAGGAAACAGAAAATATACGGCTCCTTCGCAAAATATATTCCGCTGAACGAAAACCTGTCATCATTTCACCAACTAACTATTATCTCCTGGGATCACACTATACGTCCTTCACAATAGCAAGAAACAATGGAATTAGTGCCGAATATCATACATAGTTTGACGAATACACTCGAGCGATCGGTATCACATGATAGCCATCCAAACGGCGTCATCTATCTCAGATAGCAGCACACGATCCAAGTGTTTACACTTCTGTCTATTGTTTCATTATGCCCCAACCTGTGAAGGCAGCCAGAGGTTCTGCGTTGTATACATCGTTTTCGAAATTTTAGTTCATATTGCCGATGTCTATTGCTATATATGTGGCAACACTGTACCGTTTTGGAGGAGTGGTCAGACATGACACGTATCTTGTGGATACATGAAGTGAGTGACCAAACACCAAGATGGCGATTGTCACGCGGTAGTCGGTCACAGCCACAGCCAAGGTTAATCCATCTTAACAGTGAGTTGAAACGCTAAGACGCAGAAAAAAACGAAGACTGTACTGTCGGCGGGATGAAGATGGTGTGACTATCACAAGGATATAGAATGGGGAGTTTTGAAGCATTGCTTTAATGGAATAGCGGAACAAGATTGACCTTAAGATGGTGTTCAAAATTCTATCTAGGTTTGGGCAACCTAGCAATATCCAAGCTCCCGTGCTTCCTTCTAGTAGCATGACAGTTAGGCACCGAAAGGTGCTACAGCTGAACGATAGTGTTCAAAAATTTCCATCTTCTGTAGTGTAACTTGGTTTGCAAATAAAAACGCAGATACGTCCGTACCATTTATCTTTGTACCTTGGCAACACCAATTTGTGCCCTATTGATTCGGTTTTTGCTCCATTGTGCGAATTTAAGCACAGCTAACCCCATATACTGGTCCCACTCTAGTAACGGTCAACTAACCACAGACTGGCATCTTTTCTCTCAGATAAAAAGTCGAGATAACCTATTTGGATCTGATAATGCTTGGGTGTCTTCTAGAACCCCCCGCCATGAAGACTACCTAGCTATGCGTTGCTCATAACATAGGTAGAGTTAGATATTAACGTTCATTCTGGAGCCGTTTAGTCAAAACCGACTGTACGTCCATTCAATTGATGGTGGAAGAAATAGTAGTTCGACCATATGTGATGAGTTTACAGAAATCTATCTATGGTGTAGAAATATACTCGTGTCCGATATGTACCAGAAACGCATTGAATTATTGTACAACAATCTGATATGGAGGTGAGGTGCTTGCGCTTGCTGAAAACACTACTTTGCTTTTTGTCCCTTCTAGAACCAGAGCTCTGTATCTTCACCATTTGTTTTTTGTCTTCTCGTCCTTGCTGCTATCCTTCGAGAACTTCGCTTCGACTCCAATTTTCGCAGTTTTTGAATTAGGATGTGAGCCGGTGTCACTTAATACACTGAAAACGCCCACGCCACAATACAGTTTTACACTTACTCCTTCCTGTTTTGTGGATAGTATACCTAGGTTCTGTACCATGCGGCAGAATCTCAAGATTGTACAATCGTCGCTGTTGCTTCAACTGGACACTCTTGTAGTTTAGTAGTACGACGGTACGGAGACTCATGGGTATGTGTGAGATGATGAACCTGTCTCAACTGACTACACGTTAGGATCTATCTAGACCAAAAACAAAAGTGCTTTAGCAGACTTCCGAATAACCCAGGTAGTTTGCTTCATTATGTGATTGTCTTCATGTAGAACCTCCTTCCAAAAGGGACCAAACGAGCTGGATAAGTGACGCGATAACCATTCAAACCAACTTCGAGTGGTGGATGAGAGAAGCACACATGCATGCAGTTGATTGTTGAGAACAAGAATGGGTTTATCGCTGCAGACTGGTTGATCCAGGATTTTAATGCTACTGTGTTGAATTTCATCCACATCAGTTCGGCAGTTAGGCTTGGGGATGCAAATTATTATTGAAAGAGGCCTGCATGGAAAGTAGCAAGTAGGTAGACAGATGCTTCGTAAAAGTAGTCCATTTATTTTCTCTTTATCAGCTCTTTGAAATTGCCAGTAGCGTTACAGTGAACATTGATCCCGCGTTAATCCCAAATACGATGTCTCGAAATTTGTCTATCACAAGGGGAAGTATGCCGGCTTCTGTTTGTTCGGCTGAAAACATGGAATTTTTTGAGACCAGTTGTTTTGAGACTTTGACAACGCTTCCGATTGAGCATAAAATTTTGCACCAGCAACGGACATAGTTGATACAACGTGACGTAGGTTTAGATGAAAACGCGTAGACATTTGCTTGTAGATAAAAACTAACTCGAACGACCACGGAAAGTACCTTTTTTCTGTGGACACTCCTAAACGTCCAATTATCTCGATGTTCGCTTTACAGATTAAGCTACCTATTTCTGGGGGCTCTTTGTCAGTTCCCAGTAACTGTAAAGCGCTAAATCATATTTCATACATGTCAGATACCAAAGCAGGTCGGTAAGGACTCAAGCTCTAATTAAGTTTAAACACCGAGGACACCCGTTGTATAAAGTGATTTCACCATAAGCTGAGCGCTCTCAGTATTCTTCGAAGAATGATCATATTTATTTTGCTGTTCTCGTCAAACCTGTTCATCCGACCTTCACTCCGAACGCTTTAAAAATCATATTTCAGTTTCCCACTTTTCCATCTATTCCGGCAACACTCTGGATAAATGTGATACTTTTAATCCGAATGAGAAGTGGAAAAGAATCCCAAGAATTTTGACGCCAATGTGTGCGAGCATAGCGTTACTCCTTCTGGCAAGCGTATAATGTCTCCCTTTGCTAACCTAGCATCCTAATTAAGATAGTAAGGTCCAAAGTGTTTCTTTTGGAACCATATATTTGAGTCGTTTTTAGAACTCTCGATGTTATGAATAAATATTGCCTAAATATTGCCCAACTCGTACTAGTTCCCTCTTTTGCACACATCGGCTAATACATTACCGTATTTTTACCATACCTGACCAGAATTCTATTCGGCACAATTTATCGTTGAACCGATACTTCATTCGCGTACCTCGTTCTGGCACTGAAAGAGGGAAAGGTGCATTTTGGCAACTGGACCCCGTTTGTGGTCCTCGGCTCATCAACCAAGCGTTCAAGCAGAGACGTCAATTTGAGGGGACATTCGGCATCCGCCAACCACGACCAACCACTGAAAATGACTCGAATGCAGTGCCATCCTCCCATCAACTTCTGAACGTAAGATCCAAGGTGTCTAACAAAAATGACCAAGAGCTTGTGCACAATATAGCCGAGGAAGGATGTCATCAGACCGGGACTCAGCCCGATGACAAGACTAGCGATCCGGTATTCCAAAATCGTATCCCCTTACCATGTGATTTTGGCCCATCCCGGTCGTTTGAAGCAAGTCGGTTGTATTCCGATGTGTTGCAGCAGTTATCCACGTTCAGTTCGCGTCCTGAGATATCACAATGGTAAGCAAATTATCTACCGTTTCGAATAACCCATATCGCTCATCGCACGAGGGGCTTAATCTCTCCTCTATTCTTGCGACACAGTTACCGCTCGAATATAGTCCCTTGTGTAACTTGGGAATGCCACCTTGCTTCCATCCTGCAGTTAGTCCCACAACTATTGGAGGTCAATATGTCTGGCTATTCACAGGAGTTTTGAACAGAACGCGCAGTAATTGACCCTGTGTAAACCGGGACATTCTGCTTCTCCTGAAGAATGCTTTTCCCCGTTGAGATATCGAACTGACTAAGAATGAAGTTTCACACCCTCCAACAAGGTAATTCTTCCCCCCTCCCTTAACTAATTGCATCCATGGGTGAGTAGATAGCGAGTAAATTACACTTAGGTCGTGTCTGACGAGAAACGCTGTTGTTAGTTCTCTAGGGCAGTGACCGCCTTTCCTAGTTATTCTTTGAGATAATCACTGAATCGTGATATCAAGTGACTTCATTGGCGCTTCCCAAAACAAACATTCCGATGAAGCCGGTCTGGCATTTTCTATTGGACGGAGAAAAGTGCCCCCGATAAGGATGCTCTAAAAGAAACAGACGGCTCTACCATCTTAAACTCCAAATGGTTTCTACGACATTCTAGGTTTCCAGTACAATGTCTGATGATCAAAGCCTTTCAAAGACAAATGTTTGGAGGTGAACTTTTCCATAGGTGTTTGGTGCCATCAATTCAAACTCAGCTTACTCTGAAGTCGAACCATCCGGAGCAACCGTCACAAAACGCCAGAGCGCCTCGCTAATCTCTCCACATGGTTCCGCGGCTCGTTTCATCTTCCTTCTGACGCCCTATCAATAAAACGTGTTCCACGGTGCTATTTTACTGTTGTGGAACCTTACTTTATTTGGAAGTCTTATTGGGATGAAAAGAAGAAAAGTGGACGGAGAAGGGGCGTACGCTGAGAGGTGGTCACCCTTTCGTATGGCAAAGGGATATGAAAGTGATGAACCTGGATACTGACGGTGCGACTAGCTTTCTAGGATGAGATCTGCCTTGTAGACTCAAACATTGGGATTGAGGGACCTACATTCATGGCAGTTTCTTACTCCCAAATAAATCAAATAAGTAGGTGTCTGAACGTAACAACAAGGATAAACTTTGAAAGCGATTTACTCACCGCCCACACTGACGAACAGAGTAGCTAACCTCACCAAGGGAAATCAGTCGTCTTAGTGATCCACCATTAGCATAAGCACTTCACCACACAGTGGCACGCAGTTTCATTCATCCGGCGAGATAATTCAGTAATTTTTTATGGCTCTACAACTGGGTGTTCCATTCATCTAGATAACTACTCATAATTCATTCAATTTGACATAGACCATACCACAAAATCAGTCGTTTTTCCAATCCGATTTTGGTCATTTACACTGTATACTCATGTAATAACCTGGCGGGGCACTTGCGCCAGAAACTCGCTGTTATGCATTTTCATTTCTTCGGACCCATATCATGCGTGCTACCCGTGCTGATGGCGTTTCATCCGTGTGCCGCCATTTCTCTGCTCAGCGTTCGTTGAAGTAATCCATATTAGAAATGTTGACAATAAGGCCCAGGTACATTCACTATTTGGGCTCGTTCAGTGATTTTTCTCTGAATTCAGGCTTTGCTTAAATAATATCGCGTTTTACCTTATGGAGGATCTTTGGTCCGTTAGCTGACGGCTTAACCACCGAGCTATCTCGGACTGCAAGGTATGGCTGCTAATCGATGTCAGTAGCGTTCTTGTCGCCCGTTTCTAACCAGAGTGCCTGAATCAGTGTCTGGAGGTACATACACTTCAGAGTAATTGTAGTAAACCGGAACTAAGTCCCTTCCCCGTCCCATTCTATTCATTTCTCCGCAATAAGGCTTTCAGGTATATCCTAGTTTTCCAGCAGCGAAGTATCAGTTTTGAGCACTGATGTCATGCTGCCGACAACGACAACGATAATGGTGATGTTGATGTATCTTAGTTGAATCTTGTTCAAGCGGAATATCATACTGCTTGTGGTTTGAAACAACAATCTTTCTGATTCCGTAGGATAAGGAAAGAACCGTTTCTTCCAGTGACGTAAGTAATATGTACCGGTTTCTTGTCGGACTACGCATACGTCGATGTGTGTTATAGACCATGTCTGTTTTTCGAAACCAACCTATCGGTAGCAATTCATCGAATGACCAATTTATCGATTCCTAAAATGGATGGTAAACGGACTTCTGGGGGTCTGCGATTTGTAGACGAATATTCAAATCCAGTTTCAAGAAGTTAACCGATTAATCCTGTAAAAATAATTGGAAGAATGGTGTCGTCTTTAGAATGACGTTCCCAGTCACATTTCCGTCTTCTCTCCAAGTCAGTTACCTCTGATAATCGTGACCTCTATTTGAAAAGTTTGTCCACAATCTTGAGAACCCCGCCACGAGAAAGCTGCTCGTACCAAGGAGAGATTTTGGACTCCGTGACAACTCCCAGTAAACGATATCCTCGAGACCAAAGGTGAACAGTTATTTTCAAATCTAGTTCCTGTTAACGACTAACTCAGCAGAAATTCATTCTCTAGCTGAATGTGTCTCACAAAGACCACCTCGTTTTTGAGTTGAAACCATATTCAGGGCATCAAACTATGCTTAAGTACTATTCATAAGGTTGTTGAAAACTCTGATTTCGTCCTTCTCGAAGCTCACCCGGTAGGTCTGGTCCTCGAACTTCCATCAGCCTTGTTTCATCAACTTGTACCCTTGTTGCGATATTCATGAACCACCTAGTCTTTTCATCGCTGTTTGTGGGCAGTATTAAGATAAGCTTCGATAACTTGGACACTATCCCGACTGAAGTACTGGAGGTCCTTTTGCAGCACATCTCTTCGGGTGAAGAATATGTTAAACGATAGATTCAGGTAACTTGTAGCTACCTTGTAGTCATTTGTCCAGAGGTTTAATCGACCTTATGAGTAGCATTCAAAGAGTACGTTTGAACTCTTCGTATTGCTGATTCACTCCCTACAATAAAAATACCCTGATCCTTTCTCCAAATCTAGTAATCGGCTGTCACATAAACATTCTTCAATTGATCTTTAGCCCTAGCCTTGCACAGCACTAGTCTTGGAAACATATCACAATGACATTAAGAATTGAAATGACTATAGGTGGAACCCAGACCCTTGTAACACGTGAATCCTCGATGTCTTAACTTTCCAATGATCGTTCATTTTCTGTTGGTGAACAGATGTAAACCTTCGTCGAATGTCATACGGTTTTGTGATTCTTATACAATTTGGGTAAAGGACACAGCATTGATGTGTATATGATATCGGATATTGATGACCGTTAAACTGGCTTACGATGAACATTCAATACTGTTGAATGTCTATGGCTGTGTTCCAGTTCATCGGAAATATTGTTTCGGGTACACAAAAAGCCATTTAAACCAGCCGAGTATGGCTGAATTTTCACTGGGTTGATGCACGAAACGAACGTTTTAATTAACCACTCATCTAAAGAGGAAACATCCTCATCAGTGCGGTATTTCGGTATCTATCATTTGCTTGAGGGGGTACTTTATTGCCATCATTCAAGTTCTCGACCAAAGTGGTTGGGGTTGTTTATACATGAGCATCATTGCACGCAAGTCACAAAAAAAGTCCAGCGCAAATGCCATAAAGTTTAAAGTGTACAATGATAGCTTCGCTCAACATTTGTAAAAACATGGGGCCGTAAAGCCTAAATGCTGTTATTGATCAATAGAACTTGGTAAATCATCGTGGAATAGCAGGCACGAGTCAACGATCCTGTGTGGCCACCAGAGGTTTTTGTCACAGTGTCATATTTTCACATCGATGTATGGTCCCATCGTTTAATATTTCCTGTCAGGATTCGTAAAAGGGTGTCCGTACATTGGATGTGATTAGTCAGGCCTTGTGGAACATTGATATAGAACGTCTCTCGTCCACTGTCATTACCAATATCCTCTCTTCCTGAAGTCCCACTAGAAAGGAATAAAACATAAAGTAGCACTGCACAGTGGCAGTATTGCACCAAGTAAAAAGGTTCTCAAATCGAAAGGGATTAAGCCAGACTGTCGTTGGTTTGAACGCTCGGATGTATAGCCAACAGGTTAGCAGCAATATAGGATACCGGCTGTTGTATAGAAATGTGTGCGAACAGACAAGTCAGTGATGCTACACATCATAATTTGGCTTTTTACATTTTACAATGGTGAAGTCCACATTGCTTTTTCGAATCCCAAGTACAGGAAACGTTAGGGACAAGAACCCAACCTGTGATTCCCTGCATGCTTAGCGGTTGATTTTTCGTTTTTTTCTAGACTTGACTTACTAAATAGACTGCTACCGCTCGGTTAATGTTTTGCCTAAAGCTTCTTGTGAGGGATTAGACTTCATCCGCACTCCGTGTGCGGAACAACTGATTGACCCATGGGGAATCCGCACAGCTAGGCATTCCAATTCTGGTGCATTGTAAGAACCAAATCATCCAATTATTGGCCATGACGAATGACGGTGTCGTTCGATTTTGTACTCTTATCTTCTGAAATTTGACCTGCCTTGCGTCACGAACCTGTTGCTGTTACGGCTGAACTAGCATGGCTCCTGTGTTTGCATGAAGGCTGTCAAATAGCTAGACGGCTCGTTTGAGCTGTTGAGGTGATAGGATACGTGTGCGTTCCTCAGATGAACTTATAATCACCTTAGTTAATGGACTGTTGAGGTCACAAACTGACGACTGTGCAAAAAAAGCAGATGGACGCTTGCCTACAGATCGACTACTAGATCAGTGTCGTTGTACAACCATTCGGATTTTCTGTGTCGCCTTGGTGGACGTTCTTCTGCGATGAAAATCGCTGAAGATGGTCGTTAGCCCGTCGTACAGTCACTCAGGCTACTGCACAGTCGACATGAATTCTAATGAATCTTACTCATATTCGAATTATGGCCAATCTCCTATCTGTCGATTTTCGCTTTTGGGGTCAGTTATTTTCACTTAGTTCATCACGTGATTTCCAACTCGGTAGGTCGGCCGGGATACAAATAAACAAATTCCATTCTTGAAATGATGCCATAGTTTTATTTCCCTTTTGAGATGATGACTAGTGGGGGGGGGTACAGATATTGTTCTGTTGTTTGCTGATGCGTGCTTACTGGGTCTTCTCAATCTTCCACGAAATTACAATTGCTTGTTTATGTTAGAAACTGCGCGCCGTTCTCATAAACCGTAACACACAAGCCTTCTCAGTGTCGAGCTGAATGTGATTTCAGCCCGCGATGAGTACAATAAGACGTCCTAAGAAGCACCTTTGTAAGCATAGGTTACGAAAGCTTTCCACAAGTTTTTCTTTCTGCGACATTTCTTCTGAAATTAGTTAACCTTCACAGGAGGGGCCCAAAGGTCCCATGTGATGCTTACTGTCTCGGGCTGTTTGTTTGTGTAGCTGAGAGATGGAAAGGCATTCCATCCTTCTTTATGCGTCAATCGTATGTCATATTTCTCCGCGTCAAACGACGTTGACGTCAAACACACGGTAATTCAGGCATGAATTTTTGGCGTTTGTCTTGCTTCAGTCGAATTCAAATTCGTCGTCTGTGACTTTTCAACACAACCAAATGGTGTTTCTTCAGCTTAAGCCTACGACCTTTCCAAATTTCCAGTAAAGTTGTGATTTGAGTCCGGGTTCTTCCATTTTCTCCGGAACCAATGCTACCCTTCCACTTCGAAAATAGATTCATGAATCATATATAGGTTGTTGAATGCTTTATGACCTACCTTAGTTGTGAAGAGTAGAGGACCACTTGTAAAACGTAGATCTCGCAAGAATAGGCATGAGTTCCAGTGTGGCGCTTAGACCCGGGTGACCGTGTGTTGTCCCATGCGGGACACTAGATGGCCGTGTAATTTGGTTGTGGTTATCTTTGCCATTTTCTACACTTGATTGTGTCTAACAACTTAGCCCAGGTATAGACGATACGAGCCATTTCAATACCAAGCAGTGTAAGCGGTTTACAAGAGAAAGCTTACCACGAACTGAGATGCGTGTACATTCCACAATTTAAGTCCTGTGGGTTGCGATCTGTGGGCTCGAGGCACTTTCCCGAGGCTATATCGATCGAAAGCAGGACACAAAACTCTAAACCGGTGCAGTCTATGAGCGAAACTCGAACCTCATTCAGTGGTCTGAAAAGCTGGTTGCAAGCGTCCCTTTGTCTTATTAACGGCCATACTTACAGTTTAGTAACTTGTTGGTTGAGATAGATAGTGAATATCCTCTTGTGGCCTCTTTTAGCTGTAAGTGTAATTGCTCATTACTTCCGATTTCGTTTGGAAGCCGAAATAACGCCTTAAACAACAGTACTTCTAGGTTTGTTCCTTTAAAGGGGTCACTTCGCATTGAATAAGCACATTTTTCGTTTACTTCTCTCATTCGTTAGGTGCTATTTTTGCTTTACTCAAATTCTGGACTGCAGCATTAGTATGGGTGCACATGCGAATATGAGATGAGTTGTTTATTCGTTGTGGTGTAAAATTCCTAGTCCACATATAGTATTCCCAAAAGTAGGGGCTAATTTTTTTCTGAAACAATGCTTTGATGGGACCATCACAACAAACGCCCTACTGAAAACGACACATTGAGTAAAGCTTCTCATATGGACGAATCACAAATCTGATCGTTGAATCCTCAGGTGAATACGGACACTATGTCGTCTTGGGTAACCACTTCACGAAGCTTCATAACTGAATGCAGACGGAGCGGATGCAGTGAACTCAAGTAAGGACGAACCGAAAATTAGTGCACTGATAATAAGCGAAACCTGTGTAAGCTGCCCTTTGCATGGTGAAATATGCTGATTCGCGTGTCAGTTTTGGGTCAAGAGTTTTTCGGGCACTATAATAGTTTTTAAAGCCTCACGTTTTTCGCTACGTCATCCGTATTCTTACTAGGGTTTTCAGGTTTGGAATCTTGATTAAACAGCATCCACATACCATGTCCCATAGATAAAAACCTCAGTAATTTGAAACATCAAACTTTGCCAAGCGTAAAGTCCTAAGTTGCAGACAGCGCCCTGATTGCAGAGAGCCTTGAGGTCAATAATGATAAACTAGCGATAAGTTACTCGTCCAATTCCGCCGCAGCACTTGTATCACCCCTCGAAATCGCTGAGCATATTTGAAAGTGGAAGAGCTCAGTTTCAAATGATATTGTTTTGCGTCGAAAGTTGACCGAAACGATGGGAAATCGCTGCGCTTGATGTGCCCGACCGATAGTCAGAATTTAGGACAAAAGTGTGGTGACTCTCTTTAAATTGCATGATCCACTCAATTCCTCCTACGGCAGAATATTCAAATTCAGCGCTGTTTGATTCTGTCATCAGAATTGTGAAGTCAGGTATGGAACTGTTTGCTTGATCCAAGGATAAAATGCTTGTGTGGTTGTGTGCATATCTGTAGGATGGTTTCCCAAACAAACTTGTACTAACAGTTACCAACTGACGTCAACTTGTAGCTCCAAATGCGCACCATTCCGCAGTTTACCCTGTCCGAGAACGGAGAGTATAAAACTCGGTACATTCACCTTGTCGCCACGTCCTGGCTGTTGCTGTTGCTTGCTCATATCCCGGGTCTCAGATCATCTGGCAACCATTCGGCCGTGTTGTTGATGTGGGCTTGTTCTAAAGACCACGTACTTCTTACTTTCAGTCAAATCGAGATTACACCCCAACCGTCCAGTTTAATCTAACCATGATGGCGCATAACGGCTGATTTTTTGGGGACACGAAACCCTTTCATGGAGTTCGAACCACTGGCCAATGGTTCGTGCAGTCGCCTCATCAACGTAACCAGTCTGAAGTCACAATATCCAGCGATATGGTTTATGGCAAATCCATGTCGGTGTGCACAAGTACAGTAGAACTCTGCTTGCGGTTCTGAGTCTAACTCGTTCCCATCGCCACAAGTGAAATGACTATAATTGTTCTAGAATGATATATCTGTGCAGATGTATCTGCCTGCTCTTGGGGGAGGGGTTAGAAGCTGGAGTGAGCAGAAGTTATCGATCGGAGTCTGTGAATGCGGCCATGGTGCATGCAGGCGTGGCATACTCTGGGTGACATCCGTTTCCAACCTGAACTGTTGGAAAAAGGCATGCTGCTGGATTCTATGCAACATACGTACCTACAGAGGGGTGCGAGTAAATATGGAAGTATTCGCTAACTTGCTGTATACTTGAACTAAGACCAGGAGCTGAAAAGCAGGCAACAGTTTCGGAGGCGTCAGCACGCCCAGCTGATGACCCATGATCCTCAAATCAAGTGGAACTATCCGTTTAGTAGAATCCCACAGTGCATAGAGTGTACGCACTAGCAAGCCACATCCCTCATAAGCAACACACAGAATACAAGACCGAATAGCGTTAGCCTGCATTATTTGGTCCGTACAAAGGCGGTCACAGTACTAGTGGAGCCAGTGGAGACCCCAAATTCATAGAATCGCACTATCATACTGTACACATGAATGTACACATTAGAAAAACTAAGTAGTTGGAAATTGCAATGGATGTATCGATTGAATTGAGACTCGGCGTCAGTAACAAGCCTAACGCACATCAGCGACCGCGGATGACGATTGTTCTACGATGGTCTTTTACTGCAGGATGGTGGTCCCCGAATTGTTGGAGATTTAGCTGTCGGATACTTTCGAACAATCAAGATAGGTCTTGTGACAGAAGTGTTCATTGGCTGTGGTTAGTAGTTGACGCTTCACCTTTTCGTGTGTTGAAAGGCAAATTGAGTCGAATAGTTCTAATGCATAAACCGGTTGATCTTGATACAGCAGCCTCCCCTAAAGGAATCAGTCAGGCATTTCATAAATTTACTGTTGGCGATGAAATTAGCGTACTGGCTTATGAAACTCCGTCCACGTTTTTGGTTGTCTGATCAGCTGGTTGGTTGGTTATGCCTAGCCAGGCATCCTCAAATCATGTTGTTTTTGTCATTTTTACTCGTTTTCAAATCATTTCCTGGCCATTTTTGGTGAGAATTACTACTGGATTTGTGTTCCGTTGAGGCCACAACTCAGCATCCGATAATGTCTGAAGACCGCTATTCATATGACACAACTTCAGCACATGCACTGAAAACTCCGCTGATCTATGCAGCTTTCCTCACCAGTTCCTCCTGTAGAGCATATCTTGCAACAAAAGAAAGGATAGCACCCTATAAAAATATTGGGAGAAAACTTTCAACTCTTGGTTCCCATAAAAACATCAAAATGGTCGAGAAGGACAGCAGTGTGCTGCACTATTGCGTTCGGAAACCCCAGCGGACAGAAAAATGTTTACGTGACCGCGGGAGCGGCATCGGTTTCACAAGCCCGTATTTACCAGTTCAGGCAAATCACGAGACAGGCCACACAACGGTAGATGTTTCCGTTCAGAGATTCTATGGTTAACGTCCTTGTCCTTTTACACTTTTGCCATTTCAACAGTACAGCGTGCGCGTCTATTCACATCAATTCACCCTTATGTGTGCACGACTCGCCTATGTGCTTGCTAGAGTGCGCGCATGTATTTGTTTCCTGGCCGTTATTTTTTTGTTTGTGTTGTTGCCATTGTTGTGGTTGCCGTGCCACACGTGACTGACCTCAATTCGGCACTTCCCTGGACATAGCAATGATAATACGATGCGCTCAAGGTCACAGCATATAGGAAAGTCATGAGTGAGTTGACTTTCTTGCAGACGGAGTGTTACAAATAGCTGTACACTTTCGTTCTGTTGACTGTTTCCTCTACTTACACAGCCTTGTTTTTTCACCTGTGTGAAGAACGTGAAGTGACTGACGATGGAACGCTTTTAGACAGATCATTAACCCTCAGTGGTGGTTAGAAATTAGTCCTACAGGTGGTTGAACATGAGTGGAAAAACGCCAAAGTTCCTCCGTCGTTTTCTTGATATCCCAACGAACACAGCACAAAATCTTGGGTTTCAGCCATTCAGTCTTCACGCCTAATGATAATTCTCTCTGAACGCTTCCACCTTACTCCGGATATGTACGGAACAGGAGTTTTACCCATTCAGGTGAGGAAATTGAGAGTTACTTACTTGGTTCCACCTTTGTTCAAGGCATATACTATGTAGTTTCGAAAAATCTTAGTTCAGCCTAAGCATGTACGTGTAGGTGAGCAATAACCAGATAGCTGTTTCTACTATTTTTATACGCGGACTCTATCGGCTTGTTGTGCAATGCACAGGTCAGGGGGAATTTGAGTCTTCACTTTGTACCGCATAAAGAGGGGTGAAATAGACGGAGTGATAAGAGCGCGAATTTATTACCGGAAGGTAAATAGACGGAGTGATAAGAGCGCGAATTTATTGACCGGAAGGTCCGTGGTTCGAATCCGACATCTGCCTCTCGACTTCCTCTGTCTAGGCTTGGGCAACCTGGCAGTATCCCAGCCCTCGTGCCTCCTTTGTATGGCATGGTAGATAGATACCAAAAGGGTGCTACAGATGAACGATTGTTATTATTACCGCATAAATAATTTGAAATCCAAGTTTGCCCAAAGAAACCACACGCTACCCAAGTATTTCCCTCCTTTCTGCCATCACATCTGCCAATGTGTAGTCAGATTCTCACTTCCTAGTCACTGTTCTCCCGTAAAGACCCCTCACATTGGCGGTACATCGTCTCTTGTTAGTTTCTTGAGAATTTCGTGTTTCCTTAAAATGTATATAATTGGAAATTCTTATTGAAGAATCATCAAATCGTCATCACGGAGCAAAAGAACAACATCAACGGTGTGGAGCGTATAAAACAAAATTATGTCCTCTTTGAGCTGTCAATCAATGTGATATGCAAAATAATATTTTACAGCGAACTGCTGAAATTTTAGAGCGAGGTGATGACCCTTTTCCGAAGGAACTGTGTATTTCGGAGAACGCCGTCGTGTATTTTTTAGGGGGTATCCTCTTTTCGGAGGGGTCTGTCTTTGGGATTGTACTATGTAACACCATACATCACTACGCAGAAGTCTCTAAAGAGCTCTGCTTTTCTCTTTACGTAGTATATATAAAATGAGGGAACTACCGTGTTGTACACTGCGTGTCCACTAGTGGATGATGATGCCACTTGCCAACGGAAAATCTGAGAACTCTTCCAATCATGAAACGAATGCATTACGTAATTGACCTTCGAACTTTACTGCGTTTCAAACGTTGGATTTACCTCTTTTTTGGTGTGTCCATTATTGGATTTCCGCATCCAGGCAGTGGAAAAGTGGAATTTGGTCTGTCCAGTACGTCATAGATGACGGGAAATGCTACTTTGCTTCTTTCAGGGGGTTATTTCTTCTAAAGTGAGAACGACGTCAATAAGTTTTATTTGGCTGAAAATCCCGTTTTGAAACCTCACATACGTTGAAAGCAGACTGTGTACTGTCAGCAGTCATGCACCCAGTTGCTGCCGCGATCTGGGGAAGCTCAAAGCACGAATTTCGCAACGACCCCCGGTTTTTTGTTGGGAGGGACAAGTGTTCCTCAAAGACAGATCGACTAGTCGTTAAAAGTTTAAAGGCGGTTCCTCTAAAGACTCAGTTTCGAAACTAATTCCGGAACAGCGGAGTGAGATGGCCTCAATTAGAGAATGGTCTCTCATGGGTGCGGAGATTGCTGCAGTTTTTTACTGGTATCCTATGAAGCATTCAAATTTGGAAGAATAATGAGAAGCTGAGAGAGAGCACGGAAATGGCCGCTGTTGTTATTTCTACGTCGTGTAACAAAAATAGCATGTTTTGCCTCGTCGGCCAGGCAGCACTACCTAATGAGGCGGTATCACAAGGTCCCATGTACAAGAGGTTCAATCGTTGAAGAAACTACTTCATAATTGGGTCACTTGTACAATCACTCAGATGGCAGATAATGGATGTTCAACTATAGGAAGATGGGCCATCCATGGTAAATGATCAGCATCATTCTGTATGTGCCTTTCTGTGATTCAGGCGGCTGGGAAGTTGTCTTTTTATCTGCATTATTTAGTTGAGTATTGTTAGGCAGTCACGAATTTACTGGGTAACCTCATCCGCAGAGTGGTCTTTTCACAAACCTGGTAGAAAGATTCACAAATCCGCACTTTCTCCTTGAAAAGTCTGTTTAGGCGATTTTCTGTCAGTTTCCGGTTCTTTCTAAAATTCAACAGAACCTCGCGATATAGGAAGCATAGGACCTCGGCGCTCAACCCCTACGAACTCTTGACGCAGAACGAACGTTAAACGCTACAGAAGCCTGGGAAAAAGAGGGACCGCGGAAAATGGTTTTTGGTCTCTCTTACGGAGATTATCCGGTATTCTGAGGTTACGTATGTGATCCAAGTGCAGTTAAACCGGATCGAGGAAAATTGCATGCAAATGTTTTCTTATTTATTTATCCTAGTGTCATCCAGCCTGTATTGGATTCCTCTAACGAGAATCAGGTGTTTGATGTGTTATCCCAACACGACTAGCGAAGTTGAAATTTTGTTGGCCAGCTAACGTAGGTTTTACTTCGCATTCACACTCAATTCATTTTCGTTTCACCGCGACACGCTAATAACCAATCGCATTTATTTTGTGTTTATTCCAAAGTTCCAGAGGATCCCCATCAACCGATGTACTTATGCCGTTGGCTTCAACGTTACTCACTCAATGTTTGACAAATCCCCATTATCCCCAGCAGCGGGGAGGTCCGAATCACGGAGAAATGAACCTTTCGAATTCAAGCAGAAAGTTTAGTTATCCACTAGATACCATGAGGTCTACGTTCCCTGCAGATCAGTTCACCAGTCTGCCAGTTTCGCCGTCCATTATGAACACGAATCCTGCTCTGCTGAGTATGTTGCTGGCCCACCCAATCTCTGCTCGGGACAGTCTATATTCGATCGACGTAAGTTCTGGTATCATTCGGCCGATGCATTAAGGAGAACAAACATCACGTAATCGACCTGCAAGTTCTCACCGTGTTGTAAGGCATTCTAGACCACTGCGTTTATATGATAGGTTCGTAGATAACGACAGAAAGTCGACGGTTAAAAGTGGAGAGCATTTCATCTGGAATGGAATGAAGTTCGTGTTCAATAATAACGATAACAATAATAATATTGGCAGGCGAATAAGAAATACAAATAACGATCACCACCAACCCCAACTGAATGCCCTAGCGCTACCTTTGAACCCTCTAACGTTCAAAAGGATATGTTGTCCTGAAAAAACACCTATATACATTTATTCTCCCCAACTCCATCGTTGGAGAAGTGGTGGTATCCGGACTCCCGATACTCTAACCCTAGCTGCTGAGAAACGGAATGTGCAGACACTTCCCTTCTTAGCTTACAAAACTGACGCGAAGCGCTTTAGCCATCCCGGTACAGTGATTCATGTGAATGAAAAGTCCTTACACTATATAAAAACTTCCGTGGGTAGCACTTTTTTAGTTAGAACACCCAGAACAACCTTAATTTCCAACCGGCCAGATGTATATGGTAACTATCAGGGTTAGCACTGGGTTTTACTCAGCAAGTAACACTAACATTACATCTGACCTATTCCAACTGGGCCGCGCGAATCCACCATAACCAATTCCACTGATCATGGCTTGCTACAGACGGCTGACGAAAATCGGCCGTTATCGATCAAGGGGCATGTTAAATCCACGTGACTATCTGGATTGTTTCAGTTTAGTTTACCAGCTGTAAACTATGTGCGTACACTAATTTTGGCTTCGGTTAACGAGAAGGCGGAGGATAGGATATATTCAGCCAATGATTGGAGGCAATGATACCGTAAGCCAATTTGGAATCGTTCTAGTGGCCTGATGTAGCGGGAAGCTGCGCAGCTGCTATGTGGACTGTAAGATCAGTAAGCCCGCCGCTTATCACTGAGAATCCTACGAAGGACTGTATTATAGCATGGACTTGTGAAGAAACTGTACAGGGAAACGTACATGATCCTGGTCCGGTCGAATGCTTCACTGTGCCCTGAATTTTGACCACAGACGGGATAACTTCTCTTAACCAACTGTCGGCTACTTATAAGTAGTGAGAAAAATATGAGAGGTCGAGGTCTGCCACAAGCGACTACTTCGACCGAAATACAGGTATGAGCACGGAAAGTGGTTGTCAACCGCACAAGTTGTCCGGTTCGCATTTACTCACGGAAACCGTCAACCGTACACACAAACGCGATTGTTTCTAGATTATTAATAGTGACAACATTCAGTACCATCATAGTATTCCTAATAAAAACAAATTTTCCAACAGTTAAACATAAAACCAGTTTTCAATCAATCAGAAAATTTTAGGATCGACTTAATATTCATTATTGCCCACCTACAGGTTACCAAGACCCACTGAAACCACTCAATCGGTCTCAAACAAGGTAGACAGTAAGAAGATAAAGAAAGACAAAGAAAGAAAATTTGCTTTCCGCGACTCGCTGTTCTAGTCAACCATCTATTAGTTATTGCAGCGCAGTCAATTTAGCTTATAGGCCTTTAAGTGATGAAGAACGTTGTCTGTTAGAGAATGGATTGAATTCAGCAGTAAATAAGAGTCATAAGGGCAGAGGAGATCATTTCTATTGTTGTGCCCGTGTTTCAGAAGCTTATTTCAACGGAAACGGAGAAATTACGCGTAAAGTTGGTCACAGTCCTAGAGTCCCAACAACAATGGGTTCCAAATATTGCGCCGACAGACCGAAGAGCCTTAAACACCCTAAAACATGTAGACACTATAGTAATTACGAAGGCAGATAGGAGTAAGGCCACAGTCGTCATCAGAAAGTTAGACAACATTCAGCTGATGGGCCGTCCCTACAAATTAGCAACGGGACGATTGCGTTGATAATGAGTAACAGTAAGGTTGAAGTTGGAAGGCGTTCAAGATCGGGGCAAGGTGAGTGGTGTCGATTGTACCCAAAATTGCAACCCAACCGCGACTTTATGGGCTACGTCCATCCTAATAAAGCTTGGCCGCGTTAACGAATTCTAAAGTATCTTGACTCTCACACTAATCTTAGCATGGAGCTAGAGTCCAAATCGGGTACACTAAACTTCCTTAACTAAATGATTCACAAGAGTGGTGGGAAATTAAAAACCACTGTTTATCGGAAATCAACGGACAGTGGTGCGGTCCTAAGCTACTCCTCAGTGCACCCAAAAAGCAGCAGATGCTAGTATAGTCTCAACGATATTTAGTAGAGTCACAGAACTGTGTACGGAGGAGGTCGACCGAATATCAGCAGAACTTGGGGTAAAAAAGCGACTTCAAGACGGCGGATACCCAGTGGTTTTAATTGACCGACAACTAAAACGGGTATCATTTGTGATAGACAGATCCGATTATTCGGGCGATGACAAGACATGTGTAGCTTTAATCGAAACTCATTGAATACCATCGGTTTGGCAAAGCCACTCATCCGATAGGTACGGTGAAATGGATGTCAATCGGCTGTTTGACGAATTGTGTTCTAAGGCCAAAATCATCTTCGCCTTAGTACTGATGTAAGCACGACAACCACTTCTATGTACGCTTCCCCATTTAATTACGCCTTCCGATCTAAGCCATTAGCTGATTTTGCGCATTACACCACCAGCCTGTACTACTGGACTGACTAGATTAGTCACATAGCCAAATAAGTACGGTCAGGCGAGTAGAAAAGGCGGTCGACCTGGTACTTCAGCGAAGCGAGGAAGTTAGCTTCTAATGTTCGCATAATGCTGGCTTGTGCGCTGCCACAATTTTTCGCTGATTCGGACTCGTGACCAACGCATCCATGAAGGACAAGTTAGCATTCGGTCCACTCAAAGACGCGTCGATCGCTTGTTCATCTTAAGGCAGCTTGTCAAGTTACACCGAAGGCTAGCATCCTCAATTGTACCTCTATGCCCTCGACAGAACTGTCTACCCGGAAATGAATTGCTAGGTAATTTCAAGAAAACTTTGTTCATATTTCCTGGAAAATCCAGGCTTATGATGAGCTTTAACCTCCGTTTGCATTCTCAAGCATAGCTCGATCCCGCTCATTTTATACACAAGGAGATATCCGACATTTCAGTATATAGCAAAAATGATTTACTATTGGATCGCTCTGGAGGACGCAGTGCTGTTTTGTGACAGCATGAACTCACTACACCGTGGGCGGACCGAATATTTTCGGCTACCATTTCGGAATGAACTTCTCTTAGCAGAAGTGTTAAGTTTGGGTATTGAACCGACCAGTGCCAGCGCTCAGTTTTACCGATTGGTCAACGATCGAAAATGTGAAGGAAATTGTACCTCTAGACAGCTACTTTAGCTGTACAGAGATCAAAGATGAAATAAACAATGGTGTTATTAAAGGTCCAACATCAGCCTAACCCTCGATGGGTGTATAGAAAACACCTTGGTACATGCTACTTGAAGCGTGGGGGCTTTAAGTAGAAATCAGCAGATAGGCCGCTTTCGATCACAGCTGTCTGTGAAGCACCGCCAACATTCAATGGGGCGGCATGTCAACATTAGAAATCTGTCGCGGAGTGTTTGTAAGCTTACCATTTTTGTTCGATTCGGGAGAAGTACCGAGAATACCAACTCACCAGCCGCCCCACTTCACCTTGTTTGAAATCACGGAAAAAGGTTGGGGACAAAAGTGGAAAACCAGGGAATAACATAGTGCAAGTTCACGGAAACCATTATGACCTTTTAGCTTTCGTTAGTTCTTCTTGATATCCGAGAAGGAGACATTGGATGATTGTGGTTTGGAACGCCTTCCGCAATGTTTGAGAATCAAGACTTGTTCTTTAGGCTTTCCGCCCTTGTGGCCGTAATCGGGCCTGCCAAGTGAGACCTACCTCCTGACCAGTAATTAGTCTGTAAATCCCAGAAGCCAAGATTTAGGATGAGTTCAACTAAAAATCAACACTCGATTTGAGTTTGCCTTATTACACATTGCTCCGGCCACTTGGTAAGCACTCGGTAGGCAAATAGTTGCGATGAACAATGTTTTTTTGTTTAGCCGGGTAGCACTTAGTTTCCTTGTTATTGATGGTAGGAGTTGACGACGGAGAAACAAGTCGACTCATTCCAATGAAAAATGATAAAATCCGTCTGAAACACCCGAATATGTCTGAAGCTCTTCAACTCTGTTCGCGTTCTCATTAGCCGCTAGAAGCGGTGTTCCCCGGGATTGTTCCATCGACGGGAAAATATTCCATGACGCAGAACAAGCTGTTCAATGTCCACTGCAATAAATACGCAGAAGTGCTTAAACCCACCGTCCCAAAATCTGGAGTTTCTAGATAATTTGGCTTTTCGAGTTATACCCAGATTTTCCTTTTTTCGTGAACAGGCCAACGCGAAGTCCAACGGAGGGTCACACAGTAACCAGGCAATTCCAAACATGTCAGCTATGGCGGGCATTTCATACGAATTCCCGGAGGATCGACCTGTGGCTGTCAAATACCGCCGTTTGTCCCTGCCTTCGCCAACACCCGGATGCAGTGAAGTCGGGCTGCGCGAACGATTTAACGTATTGTTCAGATAGTGACTCCAAGATTTTCCTTTTCTCTGCACCCGTGTGGACCACTTTGCACACTCACTAAGTCTACGATGTCAGGTTGACTGTATCGCACAAATATACACGTTTTATAAACAAAAAATGACTGATTTACAGAGATACAAAATCGAGATAGATGCTTGAATACTAAAACAGTCTGTCAAAGGATAAGAGCTCAAAGGTCAAGTTCAAGCCGTTTGGCGGCAAAGTTTCCGGGTCCGACCAATGTGACGGTGCGCGGAGCACCACCGGAGGCGGGGGTGACAGCAAGTGTGCCTGACACCGGCCCAACATATGAGACTGTCGCACCACTGCCTGGTCGTTTGAGTCCCATGGTAAGGTTGGCCATTGACGCTCTCCGTTCTGCTGAGCTTATCATAACATTGACGTCCTGCAGATCTTTACCTGTGCTTCGACCGACGGTGAAAACCACACGTTTAGGGGAGAGGTTGACTTGATGTTTGACGGGACTAATGAATACGTTCCGATTGCTGGCAAGTCTTCTGGAATGGAAGAGAATGGTCAACAGGCTATGGCAGAAGCCCCTCCTCTCATCAATGTATGCGTGATTCTACGTGGTCCATAAAGCACAATGACAATCAATACCAAAGACAAGTCACGCCTCAGTTCCTTGGACAACCAACATGAAAACTGTTTTGCTTACCGAAACACGCGTCTCATCTATTAAGAGAAAACAGCTCATTGTTATCGCTATTTATTGTTGACCCCGACCAGTCGACCGTCAAGTTCAACGCCTAATGCCACTGATACTAACACTGTGCTATCCGGCGACATTTATAAGTTCTTGGCTCCGTCGACAGTGTTGGAGTGTCACATTCAGATGCAATACCGAAAGTTCTTCTCACGGTAGAATTATGGGTAGTGTTTTTCTAATACAGGGCAAAAATGAACGGATCTTGAATAGAAAGTGAAACGTATCCAGAACTGATACGGTCATTATGGATAACCAGAAGCTGAAGTAGGCTCCACGAAGTTACTGGATTACTCCACTGGACCATCTCATCAAAGCAGAGTTGGTTTGATTCAACACTTTTATAAACTATTTCGCTAGACTTTCAATGTGTGTGGGTAGCATTTTGCCTGGAGCTTCTCCAAGCTTCTCTGACACCAGTAACAAACTCAATTTTGGGGTTACGGATATTTGCACATCTGCACACTTGCTGCGCTAGTACAGTCCGCAGGGTCTCATTTGGGTGATCAAGAATACAAGTAGACCAGAGAAATAATTTCACGAGTGGAAACAGAAATCTGTTCTTGATTATGTGAGGCGTGGACTATCAAGTTGTATTGTTTAAATATATTCTTCTGTCTGTTCCTTGTGACGGGTGACAATATCAAGTATTTCGATGCATGAACTTATGCATCAGAGTCCTGTTTACTGTTCATCGTCGCTAATTTTCCACGGTTCTTGCATCTACAGGAGCTGGCTTCTGCTCTGTTTTGTGAATATATTTTCACCCCGTTGAACGTACCAGCATAGTAAACATATGTGATCCCATAACTATTGGTCATTGCCCTGATAGAGGTCTGGAGGAACACTAGTAAAAATGTCATCCATGAAAGTTAAAAGAATGTTAAAAACGATCCATAAACATCCGAATAACCCTCCATGGGATTGTCATGTTGCAGTCCCATAACTTTGTCACGTCCTTTCCAATTTTTTTAGCCAAGAGCCAGTTAACGAAAGTGATATTCTTGTGAATTTCGGGTTAAATTTCTGGTAGAATACGTCACTGGCTAGCCGAGAAACCATTCAGCTTCATCCACTAGGAGTGGAATTGTGGTGGAAATATATGACGCTCCTATATTTGAGTCCCAGGGTTTATGGTGAAGTAATATACAATTCTTCTAGTCGCAATTGACGCTCCTTGTATTTGATTAATGCCTTTTAGTGTAATCATTCGGATTTAGCAAAGCTTATAGTATCTCGGCCAACGGGCTGACGACCACCATTCAGGTCCTAACTGATTTTCGTTGGTTAAATGCGAAACGCATGATGGACTATTGCTATGGGTCGTGCATCTCAAAAATAAACATCCGATCTACTTGACCTTTTGCTACAGAAGATTGAGTACTTGCTTTTGTTACAAGTGTCAATGGACTTGTGAATCGCAATCACGTATGAGGGGATGAGTATGATAATCTGTGTTCCGACGGATGAGTTGTGCGCGAGAGCGTGTATGGGTTACGTTGTCAACTAATACTTAGAAGACAACATCGCCTAAGCTAACAAGCCCAGTTCAGATGCATCACCCGCAAAAATACACCTTAGTCGCGCATAGCTCGTGGATCGAATATCCATTGAATCGGTTTCGACTACACAATCAATTCGTTCTGCATTTCCCTCTGGCACTCTCACGGGACACCCTTTCTCAGTAAACGGCGATCGACGCCATCGTGAAAAAATCAGCAAGATATCCAGCGATGGATATCACTAGTTTCTCACTCAGAAACTACGAGGAGAGCTAGTCTGATGACGCGTACCAGAAACCGACAACAAGCATACTCGTATGCATGTGCGGGAAGATTGTGGTTCAAACTTACGCAATTAGGGCCCTCCTAACACTAAGTGAAACGGTTGGTTCAGACATAAAAAGACACCATTACTATCCTGGGCACTAAGAATTTACCTCTGTTGTCATTCTTAGTTCAGATTTAGACATTTGGTCATTTATCACACAACTGGGAACAAACCTGGCTTGCGTAATATCAATCGGACCTGCGGATGCCGTACTACCGAATCCTGTACCAGCTGGAATCGCATTACTCTTCTGGATTGGCAGTGGGGCCAACGAGGGTGGACCCATCCAGCGTCCAGCGTTTGGCCATGGTGTCACATCAGCTGTGGAGGTGCGATCGGCAGAAGTAGCAGACGCAGCTTTCTGTAGAAAATCCTTCATTCGCATCAAGAAAACGGTATTGTAGAAGCGTGTGATATCTCCTCGTTCTTCACCACTACTGTGTCCGTAAGTGACGCGGTTGAGAAGAACACGTCTATAGATGTCACGATTTGACTGGGGCTGCATACGGTATACCTTAAAGAAATAGGTAACTTCAGTTATCCCATCCTGTAACCCGTTTGTCGTATAGGAGTCAGAATGGAAAAATGGAAACTACGCAAGGTATCCCAAATACACAATGAGAACAGACAAAAAGTTGGTGGTGCGCACGCATTGATGACGTCACCTCGACTGATGGTGAAACATTTGCAGGCAGCCAGTTCGCCAAGCTCGGCGAACAGATCAACATCCATATGGGCAATCACCAATGAACGTACCTGAGATACATTTTCAGACATAAAAAGCCGAAACCAAAAAATTGTAACAGACGTTTTGGAATCGAGAAAGATATCTTACCTGTACGATGTCAATGAACGAAAGCGGACGATAGAGCACCAGCTTACAAACACCAAACAAGGAACAGAGCAGAATTTGGTCTAAACATCTGTCGCGTAGTAGTTCCACTTCATGAACCACGCACAGTTCGAAACCAGTCCAGATTTTGACCAAAATGTCACGTTGCAAATTCAGACGTTCACAAAGGTCTCGCAAACGTGCGCTCGCAACTCGATAGAAGTGACGGAAGAATATAGCAAGTGAATCGTGACGTGTTGGGTAATAGCTCAAGATAGCATTGCTTGCAGCGGACCAAAGACTTTGCTCACTATCCGCAACACTTTCACTGGGTCCCGACTCCAGAGTTTCCTTATTCCCGGCAACCGAAGTGATGGGTTCCGGTCCCGTCAAATTGATTTCCTCAGTATGAACGCTCGCCAAATTGGTGTCCGTGGGTGCGTCCAACTCTTCTCCACTAGCAAGTAGTTGAGCAGCCGCTTGAGCAGATTCATCTTCGCTCGGACCTATCAGCTGATGTTTGGGTAAGAGTCCGGAATCCACACTTCGAGTGCGAAAGAGACCACCTGTGTTGGACGACGGAATCAGACGTGGTTGTTTCAAAGGACTGGGACCAGGTTTTAGCACCAATCCAGACAGCGGCATGATAGAAGACTTTCTGGAATCGGAGACGAAGCTTTCAGTGCGAGGGAATTCGTTTCCGGATGACTAGAGCAAGACAAAGTACAACAGTTGGGTTTTGGAGCAAACGGAAGAACAAGAAATAGATGCGGATATTGATCCGACCAAGATTTCGGATTGTATGCTTGTCTCTAAAATTGGAAACAATTGATCTACTGGTACATGTCGATCGCGTATACCTGCGTACCGTACTAATATTCTTTGTTCAGTCTTCTAAGACGGTAGCCCAGTGGTTCACAACATTCATCGAGCTGCAACCTACTTCGTAATCCTGTACACGATTCACCAATTTGCCGTCCATCGAGACCTGCAATTGGTTTACATTCTGCTCTATTTGATGGAAAACGTAGACAAGAGAAGTTGTGGACTTCCTATGGCACCAAATTTTTAATCCTGTGTTCGTTGGAAGTTTATTTCGTTACTCATATTGTTCAACGTTGCATTTAGATATTCGGGCACATCACCTACTTAGTCTATCTCATATGGTAATTCCTTGCATTTCATTTAAGTGACGGTCACTCAATAATAGGGGAGATAACGTACTACGGTCCGCTTTAAACACTCTTTTGATGGTTATATCAAAACAACTGCTTTTTGCGATTACGTGCACCTATTTGACTGCACAGCCGTACTACCCATGCTGAACGCAGTCATTAACGTTGTCCGTGATGTCTTTCAGCGTCTGGACTTACGGTGTTCGAACTTATGCGAAGTGAACGCTCGAGGCAACATTTACTGGGCATCGGTCACTCAAGTTTTCTTTCGAATCTTCGTGTGACCGTTCACAAACGAATTCATTCAAACAAAACGATCAGCGCTGAAGAAACTTGCGGTCGTATGTCAGAAGAAACACATGCACCAGGATTTCAATATTTTTTGCTGGACAACCGAACCGTTGCACGCGCGAAAACTATTTTAATCTTAGAAAACGCTATGCTTACGATCGAACGAGGGTAAATCCACAACTTGCCTTCACTCAGTTGAATTAGTGTCTAATGCTTGGGTTCTACGAGATGCTATCTAGCACAGCAACAGGATGATAGGGCTTATGAGTCATCATCATCATCATCATTGTCAGCTGTAAGAACCGCGTACTCGTCGTACAGTGGTTGTAGCTGCCGCAGTTTCGTTCACCGATGTTTTGGGGAGGGGATAGGCACAGTGGGCTGTCAAGTGGAGGAGGGGGTTGGAAAAGGAGCTATGCATTGAAGGCAATAGCTTGGATGCACGAGCGCCATTGAGGGCGCGACTGGGCCATATCTGACAATGTCTCTAGCCATTGATGTGACCCGTCTCGGGGTCCCCATCCAGGAAGACGGCAGTGACCAGCTCAGCTGAGTTTGCTGGTAACTGCTTTCATACTTCGCTGCCAAGTCAATGTTTGACCGCCTCTGGCTCTCTTCCACCCTTCACGTGGTAGGGCTTATGAGTGGGGGTGTTAGTTTTGATAGTTGCGACTGGATTTTGGCCGCTGCATACTTCATTTGGTTTGTTGTGTTGATTGCGCTGTTATGTTCAACCAGTTATTGATTTCGCAAATCCAGACCCAAAAGCATCTTGACAATTTGAGAAGAAACCCGAATTTCATCATTATTGATAACAACACCAAGCTGTAAGAACCGCGTGCTCGTCGTACACTGGTTGTAGCTGCCACAACACCAAGCGCTAGTGTTCATAAGAACACTAGCGCTTCGCTGCCCTACAACGATTTCAATTTATTCAAATAAAGCCTTATAATGAAGAGAAAGTAATGGGGGAGGGATTGGACCGAGGGCTAACCTACAACAAACATCCAAGAAGCCTACACCTCTGACAGTCAACCAGATACCTGGATAGAAATTGACAACATAGGCGGATCTAAACCTCTTTCTTCGGTTTAATTCCCAAGGCATGGCCTAAGGTGAAAAAGTGCAGTAAGACGATAATGAGTCGCGCAGTAACCGGAATTTGAATGATTGATAGATTGAAGCATGTTTTGGTGTGGTTCATTGCTTCTGACAGCAACACCAGTGAAGAGCACGGGTGCTTTACCGCTATAAAATTATGTCAATTTATTTTAATCAAATCCTATAATGGAAAGAAGAAATGGGGTGGGGAGGGGGACCTGGGGCTAGTATCTGTAAACACCCAAAGTGCCTAAACTTCCAACATTATGTTAGACGGCATGAACACCACTGACATCGGTTGGCCGTTTAGTGTCTCCGGCCAAGCATATGTAGGGTCACGTGGGTCTCGTCCTGGAAGGCGGACAATACCCAAACTTTTCGTAACAACGTCCATTACCTTCTTCCATGTCAAATCCTGTCCACTAATAGGTTTCCGCCATTCCAAATTAGGCGCGGAAGACAACGCTTCTCTCGGCAGGCGGTAACTAGGCTTGCGTAACACGCAACCCAGCCACCTTAGCTTGCAATGCTGGATGCATTCATTGGGGGAAACATCTTCTGCTTCATCTCACTGCCAACTTGCTGTTTCAGCCTATCCTAGGTATACTTATGAGACATCAGTGGTCAAAGACCTGAAGTTTTTTTCAGATCCTCCGCCCTAATGGGTATAGTCTCGCAGCCGAACAGCAATACAGCCCGTAATGTAATCTGATATATGCGAACATCAGAAATGAGCTGAGAAAATTTAGTAGGGCAAACCAGATCCCCGAATTTATCGTGCGTTTGATACGGAGAATCCGAGATAGCTCGTTGAGGGTTTCAACTTGAGAACCCGATTGGCTAGACCAACTTAGACTTCTGACTCTTCAGCTTAGGGGCGGAGTATGTGTAGCAGAATGTTCCAGAACATGCAGACCTCTCTCGTCAACTCAGTGATGCTTCGCAGTAAGGCGCTCTAGTAAAACTCCTTGGGGGGGGAGCGAATCGTCCCATGCGGTACCTATAATGCATGCATGAGTTATCCCAGTTAAATTAATCTCCTACTGAGTTGATTGACACCTAGTGGTATCAAAGTGGGTGCATCTACTTTGATTCCTGTAAACAGTAGGATGAATGTTTCTATGAATACTGATTTTAATCAGGATAAAACTTGGCGACCCAGACAAGAAGCCTCGCGACTTCCCGAAACGCTCCGTGACCCTAGGTTGGAAGTCACCGGGAAAGCCAATATTGTCTAGTTCAGTAGAAAGGCCAAGTATCACGTGTCGTCAGTGTGCTGTACTGATGACTAGAGACGCCGCAGCAATACTACCACAACTTCACATGTGCCTGTCCAGCGTTTTGTCGAAAATTTGGTGTCCTTAATTTGACGAATGTTATTCAGACTCAATAAGGTCCACGCGCGTCTTCAAAAAGTGGGTGGCGGATTACCCTCATTATCCGCTTACATGACGATGAACATGAGATGATGCCCTACAATGGTGACCAAGAACAGTGCAAGGCCATAGGCTAGATACAAAAGTTGCTGGCGAAAGCAAAATCCTGTGGTGCGTAAGATGGCCAGTTAAGAAAAAAGGAATCAAACAGAAAACCCACACGTTCCAGCTTTTCTGGGGGTATGACCTCTTCAATTGACGGAGCCCGACCAGAAGCCTTCAACATGGACCACAATGGTGAACTGGCCCGCCAAGCATAAGAATCCAAGATTAATTCGGCCACTTGGTTCATGTATTTAACCATATCCCGAGGGAAGTCAATGCTCCGTACGACGACCTCAATGACCTGAAAAGTGAGAAGTAAAAAAGACAGGAACCGTCACTCCTCAATGGTTTTAAAGCCTCTACAACAGGCAACATATATTAACGTGGTGCAAGCTATGAGTGTCCCAGCAGTGGGCCGCGGATTCGTCGAGTTGAGCACCACCATTTCTTCCGTAGTTCTCCACGGCATGCACGCAAGAAAAATTCACGCTTAAGCACAATTAGTGGTCTATATTACATAGAACTAGGTTGCAACCAGTCAGCGTTTTAAGCTTTTTAGCATAACGGGAACGGTGTATAATAAGAAACGGCAATTTGGGAGCCGGTTGGTATCAATGGGACAGATTCCTTGCGGATTTAGTTAAACCAGAGCCAATGCACCAATCCTCTGGAGGCTCAACAGTGTTATTGCTACTAAATACACTAGTGTCATAGCTACAGCTGTGCGAGAGCACAGAAACTCCGAGGCGCGTGTCACAATCGAAGTGAAAACTTCACCATACATCCGTAAGACCGCCAGAAAGATATTGGAAGTAATCTCAAGTAACAGGGGTATTACAACGGTGCACCTTAGTTGCCTCTTGCTGAAAAATGAGAGAGAGAGTGAATCTTCTCTCTAAGGACCCCTCTCGAGGGGCGGAAGTGTACTTCCAGAAATGGAGTCCATAATAAATCACAGGGACATCTGCTTGCGCGAGATGGGCCGTTACGATAGATCCCTCAGACTCATAGCTCTTTCTCTCGCTGAAAAATTGCCCCAATATCAAAAAGCGTAGTTACATAACATAGGCTGGTTACAAATCACAGTAAAAAAACAAACCTTGAAAAAATTCAGCGAATCCAGACTGAGTGCTTCCAATATCCAAGGAAAATGATGTTCTGGTGCATCAGAGCTGATCAGTACCAATTCCATACAGCACGCGAACAGAGATCTGTGAAACAACTCCTGTGACAACAAAGTGGTCAGGTTGGGCTTCATACGCCTGGCGAGTGCCGCATCATCCATGACGCTCGTGGATGACGTCAAACGCTTCTCAATCTTACGTATTTCATCGACGAGGATATTTTCCAGCACAAGATAATACAGTATACAGCCTAAATGTAGTCTTTGCTGCGCCGCCGATATCGCAAGCACGTTGGAGTCTGCTGAATCACTGGAAACAACCGGTTTCGCATCGGGTGATCCCGCATAAGCCAGTTGAAATTCATTCATGAGCCCATCTAGAGTCATACGCATATCCGCTAACAACGACATAGTACAGTGAGATTCCACGAGGTCCACAAGAGCTTCGCTTGGTTCTTTTGATCGTCCACTGAGTAAGATCTACGGTAAAAGTGGTTCAATAAGCGTTATCAGTTGCATGCGAGTGCCAAACGGAACAACTCAGTGGCAATGAATCCTGCATACAACAACAGAGACGAATCAAACTCAAGATGTACACGCTAAATATAGTACACTGTCAGAAGACAATGCAACAACATACCCAGTTCTTAAAGCCGTCGTTCTCACATTTGATGGAGAACGCTGACTAAATCCTAGGATGGAGCGAAGCATTGGTTGAATCAAACACTCAACAGCAAGATTCGAGCTTCTCAATCTCTGCTCTGATAATTCTCAAACAGGATCTACTCTCGCCCCTGCCATCACAATGTGTGAATTGTTACGCGTATGGGAATGTGCATATCATGTAATCGATAAAAGTTGGAAAACTAAAATCTCACCAACAAAAGGGAGATGAACGGAGAACAATCAGAAGGTGCCTGAGGTTATTCTGCACGGAAGAGCTTATTTACTAATAAAGATGCATGGAGGAGGCATGACGAGAGTAGTTATTGAGGACAGATATCCCTTCCACAAAAGACAAGTGACGGCCAAAATTTAACGTAGCTTTTAGCAAAACTGTTCCACGACCGGTTTTATGTGGTCGCCCCAATCCATAAGTCATCTGCTTCCGTTAAAAGAAGAACGGACAGAGAAGATGCACTGCTAACTACCTAGCTTCACATCATGGCCGAAAACTTGGCAGTTCACATATTCTCGCCAATCGATAGATACATAGCATATATGGTGGTCCTCCTGAGTGCGTACCGCGCTCAACAGAGGTAACAAAGGCTAGGATGAGACAAAAAGAACAACCTGCAATTGACTGAGATTTTGGTTTCTGGCCTCCGGATTGTTGAAGTTCACGCCTCCATTTAGTCGACTCACAGCTCCAGCATTAGCATTTCCACGTCGTGTCGTCTCCGTGAAACCACCGAATCCCGAGGTGCTCACCTCCTAGATGGGTAGTTAGAGTGATACATCAGTCGATTAGTTATCAAATTCAGTAATACAAACGTAAGATGATGCCTCTGTAGTTGGAATCGATTCGCGGAAAGAAAAAAGAGTGATTTTGTAAGAAATCTGCCAATTACTTACGAGCATGTAACGTCGCGCGGAAGGAGCCAGATCACTGGGAAGATTGAGGTTTGAATGAATACCACTATCCCCGGCAGAACCTATCTCCTCTGCAGCACTCGGACTCAGATAAATGCGTTCATCAAAATCACCAGTGCCAATGATATATTCTTCATAACTGTTGTTTAGATTCTGCAGCGTGATGTCGAAATTGCCCGACTCTAACAAACTTCCATACACCATTGGTTCCAGTTTGATGGTCTCCTTCACACAGGCGATGAAGCAAAAGGCAAGAGAAGAGGACACAGTGAGATCTATAAATTTGCAAATTTATGACAAAATACCAACAAAAGGATATATATACAGCTTATATAAGCAAACAATTTCAAATTACGTTTTATCAGGTAAACATCTGTTTCGAAGTCTAGAAATCTAAATTTTCGGTATTAATCTCAAAGATGCGACCTCCCGGACCACACAGAATCTCTTCCGTAGTCTACTGTAGTGTATGAAGGTTAGCTTACGCCTATGGATGAGATAAATTTAATAAGTTTTTCGCGTCAGACACGTTTTAAGGCTTCCCGCAATTTTGCACAGGTGGTAATAGATAATAACCGTTCAGCTGTAACACCCTTTCGGTGCCTAGCTGCCGTGCCACCCAAAGGGCTGGGATACTGCCAGATTGCCCAGGCCTAGGCAGGAGAAATCGAGAGGCAAAGGTCGGGTTCGAACCATGGACCTTCCGGTGAGTAAATTTGCGCCCTAACCACTGAGCTATCTCGGGTGAAACTACCCAACTCTGGCCCCAGGCCACACTGATATCCCTTATTGCTGCTTACACACCCTATTCATGACCATCTACTGACCCTCTCCTGATTGTCACATATGTTACCTATATACACTGATCATTTCCATTGGTATGCACCTTTATTCGAAGAAGGCAGTATCAGACATTCTTCCCTCTCGAAAAGAAGTCGCCTTAAGGAGAGCACTACCCTCATCCCGAGAATCTTATCAGTGACCTGATATCACCAGGATGCACTAGCCTAAAGAGTTTTCGTGCATTCAAACCACACTTGCTTCTTGAAATTTCCGCTTCAACGACGCTCCTCTAGTCTCATGCAGGCTACGTTTTGGCTGCTATTCAATCGAATTGCAAGGGATAGGGCGCCTCGCATCCAGGAGTAACAGTGACCGTCTTGAGATCCAGCGCTTTCCGTGTATGCTCCCGGAAACGCAACAACAGGTATTTCCGATATCATATGTGGCCGTCGTTATCTCATCCCAGCTACAGTCAGTGTGCCGAGGAGGCCGATACTAATACATTGCACAATAAGTTTCGTTATGACTCCCTAACCGTTGAATGAGGAGGTAACCAGTCCTCGATAGAATTAATTAGAGCTATATCAGAGCTGTATAAGTGGACACGACAAACAGATTGTTCAGAGTTTCGAACAGTGCGAGTCTTTGTATAATCGGAAAGTTTAACAACACAAAGTCGTTTGTTTACAGATACCCAGCGGAGTAATGAAGCTTCAGCTCGCGAACGCCAACATTAGCACATTCCAATACTGCAGTTTGTAGCCGATAGCGTCTAGATAACGAGTGCACCGTGAGCTCAAAGGGAGTCGGGTCTTGTAGCGGCGTATATCAGTCGACAAAACATCTAACCTATCAGCAACAGCAGCTTTTTAACTGATCTGCTTAAGAATCCGCACGGTAAAATCAACAAAAACAGGACGGGATCTGAACAGCGCAGGCAGAGCAATAACACGAGGTGTAAATTCCCTATAGGTGGGATATACAAAAAAGTAATTATAAGGCGGAATAGTAGGAAAGTTGAGGGATAACGAAGATGCGAAGCGTCAGCAGTCACGCGCTTTCGTTAATTCGTCCTGCTTCACGCAGTGAAAAGTGCAAGCCAACTGACGTCGCCACGTGATGGCCGATGTGGCATGAAGGCACTCTGTTGGCTAAATTCATGGCGCCCACACCTAGACAGGAGGATTATTATGGTTAAAAAGCCTGGCAAGGACTCAGCGGTGGTGGGCTTGAGCCTAGTTGAGTAGACCAAATCTTAGGAAACAAATTGCCACTTGTTCCAACCACCAACCTGGAAGGCCAGGGGATGGTGTTTGTCAGACTGCTGCGACCTGGTAGGAGAGGTTTTGTGGATGTTGAACGAGCACCCATAGAAGCATTCAACGACCAGTTATTTGATTGGAGGGCTGTTCAGACGTCACAGGAAAAACAGGTATTTGGTCGACCGTCCCCAAGAGCGAGACATTTTAGTCGGGCCCCAAAGGTTGCCAATAACTGGTGGATCATTGCACATCCATTCAGTTAACATAATCAGCAATGAGTACTGGTGAAGAACTAATACTGAATAAGTAAACCAGTAAGTGGTTCTTGCTTCAGTCATCCAAGAGATTCATAGTTTGCGTAAGCGACCGTCAGATACCTCCTTGTCTTCACATACCTTTTCAATTAACCGCAATATGAAGGAACGGAAGAAGTGTTCCTTGACAGTTTTGCACTCAACATAGTTGACCTCATTGTCTTCACAAATAGGGCGTAACATGCATGGGGGCTCATCACCTGGTGGACACCAGGGCTTGTTTTGACCGATGGCGTTCAAGAAGTCTTTGGGTAGACCATTCATTTCCACGTTGATTAGATCGTGACGTCCTGAGACCATTACAGCACCCAGCACCCAGTCCAAACAGCACACTAGTAGATGATAGGAATTAACCAGATCATCAGTCACCGCTGGGAAGCTGGTACGTGACTTGATGAACAGGAGCCAAGTGAGCCGGAAGAGATCTGTACCCGTGGGATGCACTGCGAAAGAGGAATGAAGAATAATTGGAATGTTCAAACCAGAAGTATTACTATTATTATCGACTGTAAGAACCGCGTACAGTGGTTGTAGCTGCCTCTATAATGGGTTCACATACGGAAGAGAAGCGATTTCGTTGTTGTAACCCTTTCCGCTTTATCACACCCAAATAAATTCGGAATTAAATGTTCAGCACTAAACGATCAAGAGCATAAATTCATTATCTGAAAGTCATTCTCGTGGAATCAACTCTGAAGCGCCCTGAAGCTTCTAAAGGGATTAGGTGATCCTGTGATGTTTACAGTTGACGTCCCGCATGGACGTGGAGAATTTTTCGCAGCTGCATCCAATACTATATGTTACGCTCCAACAGCTAAAACAGCTGCAACACACGGGTAAACAAATGTGCTAGGGACAATCGTACAGAGAGAAACATACTGTGCTGAGCCTGTAACCATTCAGATAGCTCAAACGTACGTCAGAGCATCTCATAGTGTCAAGCTTTATGCCATCAGATCCCACTTGATCCACCTATACAAGGTAAGCCAAACAACTAAAGTGGCAGATAACAGTTCGACCTTAAGATTCGTTGTAATTCATTCTCAAAGGAGATGCAGAAGAGCACTTGTGCCACCCTTAGAATATGTAATCGGATAGGCAATCACACTTTTCTTATTACTGTTTGCATTGACCCAATAAACATCTGTTAGCCCGAATTGGGCATCAGGACGGACGCTAGGATTCATTCCCGAACGCAATACCTTGGAGTTCAACCATCGGAAATAAAAGCGAGCCAAATGTTTGACTAAACATACATTTTTGGTTGCCGTGTGGATCCCTAATACTAACACACGTCTTTCAAAACTACCCGCTGAATAAGTTCTGCCACAAAGATATAGTTTCGCAAACGAATAAAATTCCTACAACCCTTTTTCGTGGTCTTTTTTTGTCATTAGCCGAGAATATCGCAACTCAGTTATCAACGAGCGACCCAATCACGATAGATAGCAAGGGCATCCACGTAAGCATTTGCCACGAACTGATTTCGTCATAGCAGCAGAGGTTACTTGAAGAGCTACCAAATACCTTCATTTGCACACTAATTTGGTTTCGACGAAAGATGCAACTGAACCCAGCGAAATCTCTCGCTTACGATGATTTTATTCTGAGGAGAGTCCCTGCTCCCGTTACAGCACAATGCAAATAAGTATTTACTATCTACTCTATTTAATGCACAGTCCCGGTAAATGCGCGCCCTGTAAGTAATTCAAAATGTGCTGCGCAGTGTGAGTACTCTATTGTTTCAGGCCAAATGTAATTAGGCGCAGTAAAAAGCACCATGTGATAATCGAAGCTTACTTTGGTTTTGAATATAACTGGTTTCTCGAAATAAGACCCCAAAAGAACGGCCAAAGTTGCGAAAGATTACAGATGACACTGCAAACTGTCTCTCAAGCAACTCCACGCGGTCCCGCATATCATCCACCATGTCAGTCATATCGGCCCATTTTTTGATACGGTGGAAAAACTAGATATTTTTGTCGATGAAATGAAGAAGACACCCACCTGAACCATGCTCATCTTTGCTGCTGACAAGAGGCGGGAGAGTGAAACATAAGCGTTTTCCACCACATGTCCAGAGATGCTATCAGCAACCGAACGCCGACAGCACTCGTACAGAGAACACACTAGCCACTGAATCTGATCACCATCGATAGAGTAATTAGCCCAAACGTCTAGAGTGTAATGTAGTTGTTAGATACAGGGTGGTAAGACGAGAAGTACCCTTGTATTTCTCCCAAGCTTCTTCGCGAATAGCTCCTTCAATGCAAAGGTCTTGGCAAAGATCCTCAAAGCGCTTCTCAATAGGTTCTTCGTAATCGAAATCCATTAGGTCAGTTGATCTGATTGGCGGACGAGTAGAAAAAAGAGTGCAATAGATCATTAGTGTTGTGAAAATAAACAAGTGCGGCAACATACGCCGGAATAGGACAGCTCAAGGCATATTTTATAATAATAACCGTTCAGCTGTGGCACCCATTCGGGGCCTAGCTGCCATGCTAATAGAGGGGGACATGATGGATAGGATACTGCCAAGTTGCCTAAGCCTAGACAGGAGCAATCGGGATGCTGATGTTGGGTTAGAACAACGGACCTTCCAGTACATAAACCTGTGCCTTAACCACTGAACTCTCTTGAGAAAGGACACCAAAAACTGGGTCGGGTATGTACTCCACAACTGACAATAATTGGGTCCAAACGAGGAAGCTGGTCGGCTGAAGGGATACGATGCAATGATCTGTAAAATAACGACTTTGAGCACTCACCAAACACACCATAGTTTTTTTTCAGGGAACATACATTTGCGAACAACATCCCATGGACCTCCAAACTGTAAAACAAGTCTGTTATAAGGCGGACCTTGTTTCCGTCAATTGTAAATCCGTCTGGTGGATGCGGAAGTGTTTCGAGTGACAAAGTAATCCACAAACTTCGGCCACAGAATTTCCATTTTCCAAGCAAGATAGATATCGTCAATTGACGTAAAAGAAGAGTTTTCTTAGGTCGCATTGCTTCATTGATTACTGTTGACTCTTGGTTACCTGTTTTAGACACACCAGTCAGTGCAGTTCATCAATCGGCTACCATACCAAAGTTAGGTCAATCTCAAACGTCACAACTTTTAGGATGGTGAAAATATGGGAAGAATAACCGTGTGTTGAAGACTACAACTTAGCTTGGGGGCGAGATGGCTCAGTGGTTAGAGCGCGAAATTACTGACCAGAAACTCTGTGATTCGAACCCGACCTCTACCTCTCGACTTCTGTGTAGGCTTGGGCAACCTGGCAGTATCCCAGCCCTCATGTCTCCTTCGGGTGGCATGGCAGTTAGGCACCGAAAGGGTGTCACATCCGAACAGCTTAGCCGGTGCGCTGGTATTGAATTGTTTCAGTTATCTCATGAAACGGGACATCGAAAAATGTGTGGTTACGGCGATACGTATGAAGAAGGAGAGTTGCTGGCTGCGCGAACAAACCACGTCTGCCTCACTGACCATAGTGTATGGCTTCCTCGTGTCTCCGTCTGAGACTGAAGTTTCTAGTACAACTGGATCAGTCTCCACACCTCAGCACCACATCACCGAGGAAGTTACCTAATAGTATCGGGATATATCGAGGGTTGTAAAGAGTGAACTGAGGAGACATTCATTTTCCGGAGGCTTGTTGCAGGCGATACAGCTTCACGTAGTCATCGGGGCGAGATGGCTCAAGTGGTTAGAGCGCGAATTTACTGACCGGAAGGTCCGTGGTTCGAACCCGACCTCCGCCACTCGACTTCCCCTGTCTAGGCTTGGGCAACCTGACAGTATCCCAGCCCTCGTGCTTCCTTCGGGTGGCATGGCAGCTAGGTACCGAAAGGGCGCTACAGCTGAACGATTTATTTATTTTTATTTTTAGTCATCGAAATTTGACGCAGCTTCTATGCTGGTCACCACATTGGTCCAGCAGCAAGCCCCATCATTCCTGGTAGACTAGCTAGTTACGAGACGGTGTATGGTAGTTTGGCGCATTTAACTATCTCGCCTCCAGATGCCTCAACAACCGCAAGATACACTCTGAAACCATCACGAAGATACTGGACCTTACCGTGGTGTGACGGTTTGCGCACCTCAGCGACCCATTGAGCTATACTGGAGAGTGTCCCGCGACACTCACAGAGTCTCTCATACCAGGTTGGTCAATGGTTAGAGGTCTGACGAACACAGTCTCCTGGCCCTCCAGGTTGGGGGTTGGAACATGTGGCGACTT